TAACATATATAACATAACTATTTTGAACTAATTTAAGTAATTTTATAAATTATTAGAGTTAGAATTAAGGTTAGAGTCTAAATTGACTCAAATTAGTTGAATTTTATATATTATAATCTTGTAATAATTTATATATGCCCACCTATACTAAAGAAGATCCGACATCTATATTATTAGTGTTATTATATTGTATAGAGTAAGGTTTTTTTTTTTTTTTTTTTATGTTTATAGAGCGGCTTCTTTGCCTTCATGGTTTTTATTAAGTATTAACAACCTATTACTAGGAGGGTATTATATTTCACATATCAACGAGGCTACAATTAGCCACACATACAATTTTAGTCATTGTCTATTTAAAGGCTCTGCCCTCAGATTACCTACTAATTGTCATACCTGGAACCCACTTGTGGGTTCCCTATTTAAAGTCTCTGATTTTCAATATTATTCTGTAACACCAAACTTATTTCATTCAGGCTTAGGGCTAATTTACCCTCAAAGCAAACTCTACTATAACGGAGATAGATCCCACATCTATACCGGTTTTGGGTTTTAGCATCAGAGGTGATTCCATAATTGGTAAAGCAATCCTTTACCACAAATGTCGACAGCATTCTCCACATTTCTCACTATAGTAGTGCCCGCTCTCTGCCGTACCGGTTTCCTTCTAGGAATTCCTTGATTTAAATATGTACCTTCACATGGACTTCGCCACAGAGCTTCACATCTGATTATAGGCTTCAATTTTTGGTTACAGAGTTTTTTTTACCTCCAGCTGAAATCAAACTGTTGACCTTGTCTGTGGGGGGACGGGAGCTTAACAACTAAGCTATGGGACCCGAACCCTAGAGTAAGGGTTTTGTATTATTAGTTTTTGTTTTAATTTACTTATTTATTTATTTATTTAAAATTTTGGATTTATTAAAGTTATTTTTTTTTGATTTTTATTTTTATATGATTTAAATTGAGTTTTAATCATTATAAGAGTTTATTAAAAATATTTAAATTTGCAGATATTCGCGTGAATAATTTTGGATATTTATTTATACCTGTGGATTTGATACATCAAAACTAATTGGTAAAGCTCAGGTTCTGAAGTTTGGTCTGGTATATCGGCTTCTATAATATTTTTTCTATTAATTCTGGGATTTTGACGCTAGTGTAAGAGAAGCTGTGAGTATGTATAGTGCCTCTGTTTTGAAACTCGTCATGTTCAAAATAATTTTCAATCTTGCCCCATTGCATTAGTTTTTCGTTTTTTCATAGCTTTTTATGAATGTTGGAGAGTTTATGATTATAAAACAGATATATGTATAATGGTCAGTTGGTAGGTAATGGGTCTTTGTTGTCAGTTAATAAAAGAATTTCTTTGAGATGTTTCCACTTATCTTCTGCTATAGTTGTGGTATAATATTTGTGGTAACCCGTAGGATCAGAGCATCGCATTTACTTGAAGTTCTTTTTTTTTGAAATAAGGTACTGCTGTTCTTAGACTTGATCATACAGCAACTGTTTTAGATTCATCAATTATCAGTTGGCCAGTGTAGATGCTTCAACCTTGAGTGGATATGTTATGTTAGTATTTTGATATAGTTTATGAGTTATATAAATCATATTTTGAGGATATAATATTTTTTAAGTATATAATTCACCTTTAATATATTTTTTTTTTGATTATTTTATATATATATATATATATATTTATATATATATTTATGTATACTTGATATTTTTCTAATTTTGTTTTTAGTTTTTAGGTTTATAGTATGTATTAAATTCTATAATAAGAAATTATGTAAAAGAAGAAACGAATTGGCATTGAGATATTATTCGAAATAGTTTGTGTACCTATAAGATCTGCTTGTGTTGGATAGTGTTCGCAGGATAACTTTTTTGGTTCAGTATACAACAACTATATTGGAAATTTTGCTTTTTTTCAAGGTTTAGATATGACCAATGTGGCCAATATCTGTATATCCTAAATCTTGGATCTGGACAGAGCATTCGAAGTTTAATATATTTTATGTAGCTTTCAGTGCTAGAGTTAAGGTTAAGTTGATTGCATATATTTGCATTGTAACCTTTTCTAGTTGGGAACAGGTTGGGAAAAATTAATGCTCGAAGTTGGGGTCGTTATAGAGAACAGGTAGTGTAAGATTGTCTAATTTCATAAATCTAGCCATGAGTCTTTGGTACTTATGATCTTTATTATGTATCTCTGTGGGGAAATCGTTGTTAGAAATTATGAGATGAGGAATTGTAAAGTTATTTTGTAAGTGGACAATGTTCTGGTTTTTTTGAGACTGTCGTGCGGTAGGTAGTGGAAGTGGCAAAGAGTCTGTTGGTGTTGGGATGATGATGTTGAGTAGGTTTTCATATTGTTGGAATATTGGGTTGTTTCTTTTTAGCTAATTACAAGCATCAGGTAAAGTCTTATGATACCAATTTACTGGTTGATTTAGATTTAGGAAAGCTCTGACTAAGCCTGAGTACAGTTCAAGTGCATGCGCATTTTTACTTAAATAAAAATCACCTCATAAAAATTGGCATATTGTATATAGGTTTGATCTAGAAGTGCGACATTACAAACATGTCATATGAATAGGTAAAGTTGTTTTTTATGTTTCATTGGTATCAGGTTTATTTCTTGAGGAACATTTGACAAAATGGGTAGAAATCTTCTGGTTCTTGGGTTTTTGCAGCTTCTGCAGATAGCTACTTTGGTAGGTTTGTTGGTAAAGTGGCGAAGATGAATTGTTAATTCTGAAAATGCTATAGGTAAGTGTAATCTTCATTTAGATTATATACAATCCATTGAATTGCAGAGAGATACATTAATATTGAACAGTAACAGCAAGGAATTTGAGGATGATTATATAATATTTTAGTTTCAAACTTATTTAGAATTTTTTTAAGTGCAAAAGATGGTCTTCAAGGTGGAAATATCGAAGGGGCATTGGTTGATTTGGTGGGTTGAAGTGGCTGCACAGAATTATTTGTTTGAAACTGATTTATTTTATTATAATGAATATAAGATTAGAAAATACTAGTGCTATCTACATTTAAATTTCCTTCATTAGAGTTCGCTGAAATAGCACTTTTGTAATTGTGAATTGAGTAGCATTGAACAGAATAGTTTAGGTTTCTTTTTATTATATGCAAGTTGTGTGAGTAAGAAGAGTAATTTATTTATTTTTATATTATTTTATTATTATTAATGCTAATAATTTTTTAGTTTTTTTTTTTGTAGTAAGCTTTTTTTTACTTTTATTAATTTACTATACTTTTATTTTGCGAAGAATTCTGTGAAGCATATTTAGCAGCATGATACATAAGGTACAGGTTTTATATATAAAATTCTTGAATTACACTGATTACTTTGTTTATTCACTCATATATTCTTTGTAATTATTTTGTTAATTAAGTATCTATAGACTATTACTAAAATTTATTTATTTATTATTATTATATATTTATTTAATTTCAATAAAAAGAGGTAAGTTATGCATAATCGGAAGATAGTTTATTTATGAATATTCATGAAAGTAAATTATTAGATTAATGAATTTTTTTTGTGCTTCTAGTTTTTCTTGGGGTGAGTGTACTTCTTTAGCTGGTTCTTCTTCGTCTGTATACTGGTCATCAGTTAGAAAATTGTCTGAGTCATCGTTGACTCGAGTAGGCATGTAATTTGGATGACTTTTGTATACTTGATCTTGATCTGTATTGCTAGTCTGAGCTTCATTTTGGACTTCAATTTGAGCTTCATTTTGCAATCTGCTTTGATTTTTGGGTGTTGGATTGTCATTTCCTAAATTTTTAAGATGTCGATTAGTTTTGATATATATGGGTAAGACAAAAGATGAATAAAAAGAAGGTTTCACTTGTAAATTTTGTAAACATTATTACTATAGTTATTAATACTTTTTTTATTTTTCTATCTCACTTCAGTTTATTATTGTTTTTTCCCTTTTTTTTTTAGTATTTTTGATTTTTATTGTTATTAAATTTTGTATTTTTTTTAATAATATATTTATTTTAGTTATTTATTTATTTAATTTATTATTGCTATTTTATTTAATTTTTTTTAATCTTTGTCTTACCTCTAGCTTCAGTTATGGTGGTCTTTAATTTTTTGGCTTGCGATGAGCTTTCTTCTTGTGAATCTTCATTTATTTCATCTCTTTTCCTATGCAATAAATTTTTATTCAAAAGAGGACTAAACTTATCTGCTAGTTTTTCAAATTTTTTATTTCTAACTCTTTTATTTTTAGGTGGAGAGCTATTGCTATTATTTTTTAAAATTCCAAAGCCAGGATAAATCCATTCAATGACGTCGCATAGAATGCAGGCAGTTTTTTTTAATGTCACAAGTTCACCTGTAACAGAGAATATAGGGTGTTTCTTTGTGGCTTCTGCCACATTAGTATATCAACCTCTAGGTTCATACTTATATAACACAGACATTGTTAATTGTGATGCTGTTACACCATTATACAACTCTCATTTAAGACGAAAAATGGTGTTTTCACCATTAGGGGTGCTCAGGTCTTGAATGGAGGCTATGAAAACACCAAATGCAAAAGATACAGGAAGATCATACATGGTTGGATAATCGTTCATAGTTTGAATATGAGAGGTGTATTCTGCTCGATTGTAACCTTGAATGGAAAAAAAAAAGAGAAAAAAGGAAATGATAAAAAAGGATTAGTATAGTTTTTTGTTTTATTTCTATTATTTTATAGTTTAAGTTTTATTTTATTTTATTTATTATATTTTTTGTACATTTAGTTCTCCTTCGACAAAAACAAATCAGCCAATTATCATCAATAAGCTTCCTCTTGTTATTTCTTCTACTAATGATGTTTCACTAAACCTAAAGGCTTTAAATTTATACTCTACAAATTCATCGATTGCAGTTCTATATATAGCACTTCCACTGCATACTTTATCTTCTGAAATGCTTTTGATAAATAATATTGTGCAAAAAATGAAGGTCATGGTTTTTCATTTTGTTTTCTTCAAAAGTTTTTTTAATTATTATTTATTTTTTGTTAGTTTTCTCATTGTTCGAGATTTGATGTTGGAACCAAATTAGATGACGAAAAATGAAGGTTCTTATATACTTTTGTCTTCTAGTAAAAAATGATTTTTAAACGAATAATAATAAGGTACTAACTATTAATAATTGTAATAATGAAAATAATACTAACTAACCAAAGATATATATAATTATTTATTTATTTATCACAAAAATAGCTTAACTATATTTTATTTAGTTACATTTCAAGGTTCGATTCAAGTTAGCCAGTTAAATAAAGCAACGATAGATATAGATAGATAGATAAATAGATATAGCAACTGTAGAATCTTTTTAATAAGTAAATCGACGTAATGTTATTTTTAGTTGAAGTATTTCCAGAGTAGTAATAGCGAATGAATGGTAAGATCAAGGGCAAAAGATTCATAATAATAGTTTCTTAGCTGAGCAGATTATTGGTTATTTTTGCTTTCTATTGAATGAGTAATTGCTTGCCCTGAGGCGCATATTTTTATTTATTCTATTGTTATTTAATAATTAATAAAGTGAAGCATCTTTTTATTAATTAATAAAGTCAACAAGTAAATTTTTTTTTGCTTAAAAAGGCTAAGCGATTAATTTTTATTTTAGTCATTATACAAGTTACTTCGTAGTTATTTATTCATTATCTTTTGTAAAAAAGGTGCATTTTTTTATTTATAATAATAATAATGATGATAAATAAATAATTAATCCCTTTGCCTTAAAAGGTTAAGTAATTAGAGTTAATTTTTAGGTTTGCATGCAATATTTTTTTCGTGTAATTTTAATCAATAGTATTCCTTTTTAAATAATCAATGAAACCAATTTATTATATATACAACTGCTGTTCGATAAGCGAAAAAAAAGTCTTTGAGTGCTACTTAGCTTGCGCAGTGCTTTGCTACTCTACTCTTTAATCTTCCGCTAGTGCTACAAAAAAGAGTATTTTCTACAATCAGTTGAAATTTGTGAAACCCAAAATTACCAAATAAAGCTATTCTGTTGAAAATCAATTACCAAATATAAATATTAATCCAGCTGAACTATCTAAGAAAAGCAATCCAGTGTAACACGAAGTGCTAATGATTATTTCTGGGTGCTAAAAATAACCAAAAAATTGTGTAATGCAAACCCTAACTTTAATTACTATTGGCTAATATAAGGTTGTTACACGTAACAGGTTGTTATAAGAACATTTATTCTTATAATAATATATAGAATTAAAATAAAAAAAACTTGTAATCTGATTAGAAAATTATCGAGAATAATTCTCTCAAAGTTTAAAGAAAGATTAGCTTACTAATAGAAAGGACAAATTCTTTCTGAACTTTAAGCAAAGTTTTTGATAATTACCTAACCAAACCAAATTCGATGAATTGTTTTTTATTTTAATTCTATACATTCATAGAATAAAAATAAAAAAATCATCGAATTTATTCAGTTAATTGTCGAGAAAACTTTAAATTAAAGGAAAACTCTTTCTGCTCATCATCTGTACACAAAATTTCGGCACAATAATTTTCACATTTTTCTCAATTTACAGAAAATTTACTAAGTTAACAACCTCTTGACACTTAATAACAATTGTTCAGCTACAATTTTACATATACCTGTAAAGTTTCAAGTCTGTATCTCTCATCGTTCTTGAGTTATTTGATTTAGAAGAACAGATGGACAAAACACTGTTCTCCTCCCAAAGTTTTGCCCTTCCTGGCAAACTGGGCATAATACTATACTGATACCTCATAATTGAATTTGCAGAGCTAATCTCTGGCTTCAAAACAAGCTATAGTACATCATGTTTGACCTAAAATTGATCATTCTAGCATCGAAATATTAAAACTCTCTTTTTTACTCTTTAGATTTTCAAAAAAGTTCCTTTCTAGTTTACCCCATCAAAATCGTTTTTTGTGTAACATTCGGACCTGTATTTCTGATTTGTTTACACTTGACCATACTAGAAACACAATCAATCCTTTTTGGACAACCCATTTTACAATTAATTTATACAAATTAATTTACACAAATTAATTACTGCATTTATTGTTTATTCTATAATTAACTTAGCAACGTTACCTAAACTTTACCTATTAGTGCAACCTGTATAACACGTGATCTGTGTAACATGTGACTTGTGTTACACGTGACTTGTGCAACCTTAGACTTTCTAGATTACACAAGGTTACATGAGCCGCAGTAACTATAATAATACCCCCGTAAATATAACACCCTTGTAACAAGTCCTTATACATTATAGGCCTATATTTTCAAACTTTTCTAAGAGATATAATATAAAAAACATATCATTTCGTAGCTTATTTTATTCTCTTTTCAAATTTAGCAATCATTTCTTTATAATGTCTCTCCTTTTATAAATTATTTAGAAGCAATTATTTTTGCACTATATTTTTAAATTTTTATTAAACAAATTCTACCAAGTTTTAATTAAATCTATAGATACAATGCCTACCTTGACCTCTGTAGAACCTGATACCATAGATCTTGACTATTTTTATAAGATCTACCACAATAGCTTTGGTATTGGAATCTATGAAGATTCATCAAATACTCCTAGACCTATTCCGACAAATAAAAAACCAACTAAATACATCTCTACAGTACTTAGAAATGCAACCAAATCATGTCACTACTTTGAAGCTCCAGCTACTACATCTGTTGTCAGATGTTTATGCGGCAAATATCATACCCAGTTCGTTTCTAAAGAAAACACAAAATACAAAAAACCCTCTAATATCAAAATTGTTAGTAAAAAAGGAAAAAAAGAACTTGCTCTCAAAATGGCTGATTCTACTGAATTGATTTCCACCTCACCAATCTCTTCACCTTCCCCTACTCCACATCAACATACCTGTCCACACTGTAAACAACCTATCAGTTGCAAAGTTTCCAACAATCAACATCAATTAGCAAGTGATGCTATGCTATATAATGATATACCATATCATAAATCTTGTGTTGAAAATCTTTTAAACCCACATCGTGGATCTTCAAAAGATACTGAATTCTTCTCAAAACTCAAGCAATCTCTCTATGATTTTCGAACATATAATCCTTTAGCCTCAGAGCTTGCACCACTTACTCCACTAAAAGAAACCTCAGAAATGGATATTGACAGTGAATTATCTACTAGTAGCCCCTTAATCACCCAGCAACAACAACTTTCTCGACAAATACAACTACCATCTCAACAAAGTACTTACCTACAACAATCTTAACAATTATTTGTACAACCCACAACATTCCAACAATCCACCATTACGCCCAAACTTATAACTACTCCAAAATACTGTAAAGTTCAACAAGAACAAGTAGTATCTAATCCTAGTACTACTCTCACTAGTACTAAGGAACTTCAACAATACCAGAACACTCCTTTGCACTAACAGTATGAACAACAAACGTTAATTGAAAATCTAGACCAACAACCTTCAACCAACTTAGCCACCAAGTCCAAACTCATAACTACTCCGAAATACCATAAAGCTCAACAACAACAACCAGCCTCTAATTCTAGCACTACTTTCACTAGTACTAAAGAAACACAACAAAACCAAAACACTCCTCTGTATCAACAGTATGAACAACAAACATTATCAGAGAACTCAGACCAACAACCTCCATCCAACCTAGCTAATATAACAAACAATACATTATAGCAATCACAACTAACCCAATCATCTGACCAAACCAAATTAACCTTTGACTGTTAGCCAACTTTCCAGTCTTAGCAGAAATGGAAAGCAATGATAAACTTCAAACAGAATTTGCAAAAAAGATATTTAACTTTCTAAAAGTACACTTATTTGATTTTTAGCCTGGCAAAGAAATTAAGGCAGCAACAGGAAACCGTAAGGCCCTCAAAGCTAGCTTTTACCAGATTATTCGCAAAATGGCAGGAGAAAGACCACAATTTCTAATAGACTTTATATATGAACATAATACAAATGTTGATAAAGCCTTTTCTATCCCATTCTCTGTTCTTGAAGAGACACTCAAAAAGCTTATTCTAGTCTTTACAACTGTCCTTTTCACCAAACTCAATTATCCTGAAATCTTTGCTTCACCAGCCACAGTCCCACTTTATAAACCTAAGAATCGTTTACAATTTTGTATTAATCTCACTCGCTTACACTTATACCTCTCCAATAACTATCAAACTATAGATTATACCAAATTTGCAGAAGATTTTAAACTTCAGCCCAAAAGCTTCAAAATTACTTCACATGTCGTCAATATTGACAAAGAGAACAAAAACCTTAAAATCTATACTGATAACAGATTTAACATTCAACTTAACTTCAATATACCAAAAACTCTTTTTCTACAAAAATTTAATATACCATCACTAAAAAATTTCTTTGAGCATTTTAATGAATGGTTTGATACTTTCTTTTCTAAATACAAACGACAATTCAATGAGCCTATTGATGAAACAAAAGTTCGTAATTCACTTAAATATCAGTTCAGACGACACTTTATTTCTCAACTCAAAAAATTTATCCCAGACACTATTCCATTTATGAAACCTTCATCCTTTCAA